CAACTTTTTCCTCAGTACTCAGGTTAAATTAAACCAGAGCACTGGGAATGAACTACACTTTCATCTTTTTTAATTTTGTTTTTAGACAGGCTCTCCCTGAGTCATTACTGTTGCCCAGGCCTCAGACTCCTAGAATGAGATGGGATTGCAGGTGTGTGCCCCCACACTCGGTTCAGCTTTCAACCTGCAAGTCTGAAGAAGCAGTCTGTGCCTTCAACCCTGCCGTACAGGACAGCTCCTCAAGCACTGCTCTGCTAGGTTGATTGATACAGCCTCAAAACTAAGACTATCCAAGCCTGCAGATGGTTGCAGCATCAAGATCAGTATGTCTCTGTACATGTATTGATGTTAAGAGGTCCCAGGACGAGAGCATACCGAACTACAGCAAGACTCCAGTTTCTGGTCAAGTGCACTTAGAAGAGAGAGTACACAGCAAAAGTCATGTAGAGATGGAAGAAAATGAAGTTGGACTGTCACCCACTGAGGAATGCCTGGAGCCACCAGAAGCTGCAAGAGGAAGGAATCCCCCCCAGAATATTCATGAGAGGGGTTACCTGCTGGCCTTGACTTCAGGCTCCTGGCACCCGAGACTTAGGGAGAATACATCTCTGTTGTTTGCAGGATCATGATTTGGGGAGACCTTTTATGGAAACTGATGGAGTTGTCAATGTGGTTATGTTTTCCTTTCTCAAATTCTTCCCCTTGCAGAAGAACCTAGAAGCAGCAGTTGATGAGAGGGAAACAGGGGAGACAAACCTACCTAGGACCAAGAGGTTTGGATGGATGCACTCATGACTGTTGGGATAGTAGCTGCCCGGGGCTCCCAGCCTGGGTTATAGAACCTTCCAAATGTGTAGAGCAAAGGGAAGTAGCCCCGACTCTTGTAGATTCTTGACTTTTTAAAGATTCTTCCCTGGTAACATACTGGGAACCTGCTATTTCCCTTTAGCTATCATTTAAATAATTTTTATCATCTCTCAGAAACACGGTTTTTGCCTTTGCATTTGCTTTATGCAGCTTCCCACACCTTTGACCTCCTGCAGAATCTTTCTGTCTGTGACTGGAGGAATGTGCACACACCCCAGAAGGAAGGATTTGAGCTCCACGAGTGGAGCTTTCAGCTTCTGTTCTCTGCGGGGTCATCTACCTTCCAGGGGAAGCAGAAGTCAGTTAGAATGCAGTGATGGCCCATCCTTGAAATCTTCCTGTTCCTGCTGGCTGGTTTGCAAAAGCCCTGCGCTGCCTTGGGATGGGACAGAGGGCCTTTTTTCTGCAGAGGTGTGAATGGCCTCAGATACAGCTGCTCAGCCCCCCAGAGAGGGCAGAAGTCACACTGGGCAGCCATCTGTAGGAGACCATGAGGCTGGGTGGGTAAAGCCCCTTCTCCAAACTGGGAGTGGGTTTGGTCTGTCTAGTGGGACTGTGTCTGCCTGGATGACTTACATAGTAAGTTCAGGGGCAGCATGAACTATACAGCAAGAACCTATCTCAAAAAAATCTAACCAAACAAAAAAGGAATCTTGTCCTCTTTTGGGGCTTCAAACCATCAGGGGCTGAAACAATCAGGAGTGAAAGAGAGAACAGCAGCATTAAACCAGGCCACCAAGCAGCATGGTGGAAGAGCAGAGCCTGGGATGCAGCCAGAATTCCAAGGGGAGCAGAGGAAGGAAAGAGAGGGACAGAAAGGAGACACATGTATCAGAAATGGACCCACAGCCAGGACATCGAGGGAGACATTTGCCAGTAGTTGAGTCATAGGTGCCTTAGCATCTCAGTCTCAGCACTGTCTCTAGTTCCAGGTATCAGGGAAGAAGCTGGGAGAAGCCAAAGACTGCAACCTTCTCAGCAGGGTTATTGCATGTGGCAAGTGACAGGGACTCACTCACTTGCCTCTTCACCTGTTAAACCCTCACCATAGCAAAGCACATGCTCACCTAATTTTTGTAGAAGCATTTGGATCACTCTGTAGTTGCTGGTACTGGGAATCATCAATTCAAGCCCTATCAAAGAAAATTCACCACCCGCTTACTTTTCCATCACTATTTTGGAAGTGCCCACACTTGGCTGCTCCTCAGAACTAGCTGAGGGGTTTCTTCAGTACAGATGCCCAAGCCTCACTCTTACCCACACTTAGAAGCATACATTTTCACCAACATTTCCTAGACTTCCAAGCTAACTTGTTCCAAGCTGGGGTTTGGTGTCAGAACTACTGTCCCAGCAGCACAGCTAAGGGGGACAGACACTATCTGGGCCATGTGTCATTGCACATGAGATGTGAGAAGCACTAGAAATTCTCTGGGTCCTGCACTGAAGTAATCAATGCACCCCAAAGATTTTGGGGTATATTTTGAGTCACACAGCCATGGGGATGCATAAGAAGAGTGTGAAAGTGAGTGAGGATGGCAGGCACCCTTGGGATGAAATATGAGATGAGAGGATCTTTTCTATCTAAAACCCTCATTGGTCCCTTTTTATTTCTTTCTTTTTTTCCTAAATGCTTTTATGATGATTCAGATGAAAATTATTCCTTGTCAATGTAGATTCCAGGCTTTCAGGCTGCTCTTGTCTGCTTTATAACACTCACTGTACTCATCTTTTAAGAGGAGGAGGGATTGATGACAAAATTCAGTTATGTCCTCACAAAAAAGTCTTAATGAAAAAAAATCAGTGTTCTTTAGTTTAAAGAAAGAACATTGCACAGGAGAGTGGCAAGAGGGTGAGGCTGTAGGAAGGCATGGTGCACTTTGCCTCTCCCCCAATCCTGAAGAGGGTTGCTGAAGCAGTCAGCACAGTGGGAAGGATCTCAGAAGCCAGCCCTAAGTGTGTGTTAAGGAAGAGGTCCCCATTCTCAGGTTGTCAGGGAAGATTAACAAAAGCTAGTGTGCTGCCATCTTAGAGGGGAGGCCTGCAAGATGCACATTTTCAGAGGCACATACACAAGGAAAATTTTGAAGGCTTCTCCTTATCCCCTGTCCTTTAACACATAGATGAATTCTCTGCAGAGCTGTGACTCACATCCTGGCCAGAGGGAGTGTTCCGGAGAAATCTCAGAGAGCTGCCCACACAAAGCTCCTCCATCTCAACCAGCAACACTTACTGGACTGTTTTAGAGGGTGACAAGTGCTCCGGACAAAGAAATTTTCAGTCTAACAATTGCCTAATAGAAAGTGAGGCAGCTCAACATCCTTTGGTGTTGAGGATAGAAACACAAGCTATGGCCCCACAGCACCTCCCCTGGAGAGTCTCAGTATGAGCTGCACACATCACCCTCACTTTGGTGTCCCACAGACCTGCCCTGTGTCTACATCTTCCTGTCCCTTCCTCGGAGAGCAAATTCCATGGCCAGCTGCACCTGCTTGTCTCTCTGACAGGTGTGAAGCTCTACACGCCCTGGCTTATCTTCTCTTGCATCAGTAATGTCGCAGTGAGTAAATAACTGTAACACAATTGTGACTTTGCTTCTAAAGGTGATGCTGCCAGGTTCAGCAGAGAAGCAGAACTGTCAAGAGCATCCTCCTTAACAAGGCAGCCTGATCCGGAGAACTGGATCCCACCTACCAATGGCATTTCCTGCCACCTCTCCTCCAAGCATGACCTTGTCAGGAAGAGAAGGGAAGTGAAAGACATGTGAGTTTTGTCTGTGCTTTTTATGGCTTTCTGTTAGCTGGCCACGTAAGCAATGAGACCCTAAGGGTCCCTGCACCCACACAGGGTGGAGCAGCCTGTCATGGGAAGGCATGTACCTCAGAGTATTATGTAAAGAAGGACCAAGTGCATGTTGTGTCTGAGTCTTCTCCCTAAGCAACCCAGACTGATCCAGCTCTTAACCACAGGAGTATGTGCCATGGGCTCAGTCTGTAGCAGATGATGTCCATTCATGATTTTGTTCATTCATACTCCCACAGGTCCCACTTAGGACCCTGCAGCCCTCTGAATTCTAAACCACACCTCTGAGTGTCCACACTAATTGAGCTCAACAAAACTTTAGTCCAGGGGATGCAAGTACACAAGAGAACCACTGACATGCTTCAAGCAGGAAAGTGGTACAATTAAGACTGTATCTTACAATGGCCAGCCGACCCAATGTGCAAGCAGACTAAGTTGAATAAGCACTGCAGGAATCTAAGTACAGTAGGTCTCAGGATTGCCAAATCCTATTCTCAGAGAATGTTTATTAGGAGCAGCTGAAGCTGGAAAGTAATTACGTATAGAAAACAAAGCCAGCCAGAGAACACAGGAGCTCCCAGAAACACGGAAGCAAGCTGTTGCAGCTTGTTAACTGATTATGGGGTAGAGAGGTTGAAATTGGCATCAACCTCTCAAGGGTACAAATAAATGCTCTACAGTTCTTGGGCAGGTTCCTCTCCTCAGCTTAGGAGAGAGTAGACCTCCACCTGACCCAGCTGTTTGTCTCCTCTCTATCTTTTTTTTTTTTTATTTTTACCACAGTTGCTACCTGGGTGCACTGAGACTCCAACTAGTCTCAAATGTTTGTAAGTCAGAGTTGTTCATAAGTAAGATAAAGTGAGCTTTATATACCTTTAACGTAAATACTCAATATGAGGCATAAAAACACACATGCAAGGTCCATTCTAATCTGTGAAAATTCGCTCTTCAAACTCTCTTAAGTGGGAAGAAAGAGTATATAGATGGAGTGTGATCAGTGTGTTCAAAGCATGACTAAAGGGAAAGGGGAAAAGGACACTTTGGGATGAGTTTAGAAGAGAAAAATGGTTCTGCTAAGGAGCCTGCATGAATGCATCACAGGAGCAGGGAACCACAGGAAGTGCTTCACACAAGGAAGAGAGGTAGGCTTGAGGCTGGGAACAGTCACCCAGAGCTGAAGCAAAAATGCTCTTTGGGTTTTACAAATAAGATCTAGGTCCATGGGGCACTGGGAACAGGTGAGAACAGCAAGCCCAAGTTTTTGAAGGGCAAGGTTGGAGACTCAGGAGGACGGTGGGATAGAGGAGTTAGGAGTGGTTAGGACTCTGGCAGGTGTGCTCGCTTCGGCAGCACATATACTAAAATTGGAATGATACAGAGAAGATTAGCAAGGCCCCTGAGTAAGAAGGACTCCGGGAAGGGTGAAGGAAGGGGGTAGGATGGGTCAGAAAAAGACATAGAAGAATGGGCAGAGGGAAGCATGGCATTAAGGTGCTTTTTGTTTGCTTGTCTGATTTTTCAGTGTAGGAGGATTCTGCACGTGTTATTAGGAAGGAGCCTGAACAGGGAGTGGAAAGGGCCAAAAACTCAGAGTGTGGAGTGTACAGCAGGGATGGAAGGTAGCTTAGGATGGGATACAGAGCCTCATCCATGATAAAAATGAGAGGTGGAAGTAAAGTCATATTAATGTGCTGAGATGTAAAAGACTCAAGTCAATAACTTCTGACATTGCCAGTGTTACAGAAAACCCAGGACTATTATGGATAATGGACTACATTGGAACATTTTGTTAAATATATGCACCTACAATATTTAAATGACGATGGAATGCCCTTCTCCAAGAAAAATAAGCAAAAATGTGGAATACAAATTAACGACCATTTTGTATCAGTATATTCAAAATAGTTAGGATAGATATACAGCTACTTTCTCTTAATTCAATGAATAGGGAGATTTGTTCTAATAGTGTTTGTTGACAGGATAACATGTTGGCATCTTGTACAATGAATAACCACTAAGGCAACAATGCACAATGTATTAATTATTGAAACTGTGCTAGTAATCAGTTTTGAAACTGTCTCATTGCTATTTATTTCTCAATAAAATTATTTTTTTTAAATGAGAGGTGAAGAAGGAGAAGACATAGAAGTAAATTCTGCTTGGAAGATTCAATGAGAAGGGATGAGAGGAGCAAGGAAGCAGATGCTGTCCACAGTTGAGAGAGGAGTCAGCATTCATTAAGTGTGTCAGAGCTTCTCATTATGGAAGGCAAATAAAAGCCTTGCTACCGGTGATGGAGAGAACAGACACACAGAGTGGTCTAAGCAAGACCCAGAGCAAAACATCAAGAAATTTCTCAACTCTGCATCCCAGTGATTTAAAAATTGAGTTTTAGAGTCAAGGCAATAGTGACCCACATCCTGGCTTTCCTTGTGCAATCACTGCACATCCTAGCACAATGTGCAGGACGCTGGTTCTAGGGTGCCTGTTCCTAGGGCAGGCCATGGAATGCTACACTGCAGACAGTGACCCTGTGTGTTCGTTAATTGCCAGTCCTCACAGTGCTCTTAGCGGAGTCATCATCAGTTGTCAACAGGACTCATGAAAGGACGATCTTCACAGGCCAGCACGGGAAAGCTGGAGTTGGCTGTATCAGTGGAAAGACGAATGGATGGCATCCTACTGTGCTTGAGAAATGAGCAGTGACTCAAATAATAAGAAAGGCATTGGCTCTGAGGGACAGCAGGACTAAGGGATGGTCTAGAAAAAAAGATGAGCCCTCCTATAACAGCAGCTTCATCAGACAGACCCATCCTGCTCTTTCTCTCCTCACCTGTCTTCACAGTTTGCCTGCTGATTTGAAGCCACCCACTTTTATAACCCAAAGCAGACCATTTTCCTCACATCTCAATGTTGAAGCTGAGTATAGCCAGTTCAGAGGCAAGTGACATAAAATCTTACTTTATTTCCTTTCCTTTCTAAGCATTGAACTACAATTCTACCTTTAATAGTACTTTAAACTAATTTGCTGCGAATTGACTCCCAGATACATTTTGACCTTCATTTGTACTTTTAACAGACAGAAATTAATATGTAAATAAGTAAGATTTGGCAAAATGGTAAGTACCAATGTTACCACTGTTGCCAAAATCCCTGGTACTTTAGAAATCTTTGAAAACATAATTGTGTAATTATAGGCATTTAAATGATCTACAGTATATAATTATCAACACTCATTATTGGTATTAACAACTTAGAGCTGGGATTTTCTGTTAACAGAAGCATAGGCATTGCTACAGTAATTGTAAGAATGGGATGTACATGTGCCTGTGCCCAAATGCGAGACCTCCAGCACTGATTGCAGTGGGATGGCAGAGGCTGACTGTAGAAAGGACTCTGCTGACCTGGAGACGTGAGGGCCTGATTGAAATGGCACCCTGCATGCAGTGGAGATAGAATTAAGGCTAAAAGATGTGTGCTAGAATTTGTCCTATTTTTCTAATTACATGAAGAGAAAAGTTCTAGAGTGTTGAGGGTTGAGGCAATGATGGTAAACAGGTCTCTTCCTCCAACCCACCAAGAAAGACAGACATTGTGAGTTCTCCACTAATGCCACTTGAAGAGCACCTTCAGGCATGGTGCAGAAGGGCATCTTGGCTCATCTGCTCTTCTGCCTGCCACTTTCAGAAAGAAACTAAATGCACCATGTGGTCACTGATGAGCTGGCTAACCTCAAGCATCCCCAATCCAAGCAGATGCTTACCTGTGGAGAGGCAGAGGTGGGAGCTTCTAGGGAGATGGGGTGATGTGGGGATCTTGAGTGGTCTTTTTTTAGTAACACATCCTGAGTTTCTTCCACAAAACTCAGAGATCCATCAGAAAGTTCCAGTCCCACAAAAGGACAGCCTCAGCCCCTTCTGTCTTGCTGTCACAGCCTTCCCCTCCCCTGCTGGAGTAGTGAGACATTCAGGGCAGCCCCAAGCCTAGGGGCTGGACAAGTCGTATCTTGGACCAGTAGAGGGCTGCCTTGTATGTGCAGACAGGAAAGACTTGATGGTGGCGAGGCCATCGTCTGCTGTGCTCTCTGGGACAGCTGAGGAGGTGATTCACAGCTACATCTCTAGACCAAGCTCAAAGCTACCTACACATGCATGTTTCTATCAAGTGGTGCCGATCTGGGCTCAGGGTGGGGAATAAAGAGCCTTCTGGCACATACAGGTTTGATAAGCTTCTACCCTGCTAGGGCTTCTTGCTGCTCCTCAGCTTAGATAATGGCACATGGAGCTTGATGCTATCTGGCTATTCAGTAAAGGGTAAGTCTCATGAAGGTGAACTGAGAGAAGCTGAAGACTGTATTTGTAACAGGAGGATCATACGCTTAATGCTTTGTATAACCTCTTCATATGAAAGCTGTAGGAAAATCACCTTAATATATATATTATAATTTAAGACACTGTTTTCTAACACATTATTTAATTTGAGTAATAGTCCTGTATGAAGTACAAATATAAAAGCTTTGGACTTCTCCCTTCTCCCCCCGCCTTCTTTAAAATAAAATGTTTTGCTTGGTGGTAAAAGTAATAAGTGCTGTTGTGGAAAAAAAACAGATGAACAAAAACTTAAGAACTAAAAAATTTCCCATAAAAACATCCCAGATAAGCATTACTACCTCTGTGATTTAGCTTGCAATATACTCTTATCTATTTCTCCTTAGTTTCCAGCAATAGAATGCTCATAAAAGCTTCCAAAGTCATATGTATAGTTTCCTGTTAAATCATAACATGAAAAAGAAATTATGTAGAGCTTTAGGTCCCTGTCATTAAACACTCTTCAGATATAATTAGTAAACATCATTTTTGATCTGACTATATAAATGGACACACAATAGGAAATTTTGAGGAGATACAGAGAAGTAATAAGAATATTAAAATTGCATGGTCACTACCCATACCAACACTTGCTACCTCTCTATAGATTTCCTTCCAGCAATATTCTAGTTAAATGGGTAAAGGAATTGAAAGAGAATCTCTCTCTCTCTCTCTCTCTCTCTCTCTCTCTCTCTCTCTCTCTCTCTCTCTTCCCCTCATTTCCACCCCAATCCCTATCCCTATCCCCATCCCCTGCCCCTGTCCGTATTCCTATCCCTATTGCTATCACTATCCCTATCCCTATCTCTGTCTCTGTCTCTGTCTCTGTCTCTGTCTCTTCCTCCCATCTGTCTCTCACTCCTCCCATATAAACAAGGTGTGGCTGAAAATATGATATGTGATTAAATTTTACAAATGTATTATAGCAAAAAATATAATGCTATGAATGCCCTTCTAAAACCTTTCCCTCACTTTGAACACACTCATCTCATCATTCTTGCCATTTTCTGAAGGAGTATGGAAGTCCTCATTTGTATTTTTAGTCACTATATTATAACTGCCTCAATATCCTCAACTGATTCAAAATTCCAGCCTTTCTTTCTCTTGGAAACAGCAATCAAAGAAACCTGACCTTTCATAATCATTTTGACTTTGGGGAACAGCCACAAGTTGTGTGGTATTAGATCCAACAATTAAGGTAGATTAGGAAACATTATCTTTTTGTTTCACAGAAATTTCTACACACACACACACACACACACACACATTACATTACATACACATTACATTTATATATACTGTTTTTTATCCCACTTTCATTGAACAACGTAGAGTAAATGTATCTCCAGACTCTTCCTTTGTAGCACTATTCCATCTAACACATTGCTATCAACATTTTCAAGCTTTCATGTAAAGGTGAACAATGATGCCATACATATCCATATACCTGCCATCTGGGGTCTGCAGCTACTGATGCCCGTTCTTGAGACTCTTTGCTGATTGTCATGACCAGATGCAGGCAGCTCCAGCAGGCCCCTGCAGGGCTTGTGGCTGGAAGGGGTGCATACTTCTGCCATTGGCAGATGTCCTCAGGCAGCAAGGGTCTCCCACTAAGAGCATGAGATTGAGCACCCGGGTGGTGGGCAGTGATGAGGCAGACTGCAGAAATGAAGCAAAGCTGAATGCCAGCCAAGTTCCCTGCTTTGTTTTAGGATTCTTTTGAAATCTACAGCTCAGGTTCTGCCTTAGTTACTTTTCTCCTTTTTGAAACAAAGTACCCAACACCCAAAGTTAAAGCAGGAGAGATTTATTTTGGCTCATAGCTTATAGAGATTTCAGTCCATGTGCTGGGGCCCATGTCAGTATCTACTGCCCTAATTTTCATCACCCTCTCTGGGACCTTGAATGGGCATGAGATTTCTGCCTGTCTTCTTATAAGGGACAGATTTTCTCATTCCATTATTCTGCTGGTGTGAGAAGGCTGCTTACCTGCAGGAAGCCAGAAGCAGCCATGGGGGCTGAGTTGTGGGCTTCCTCTTCTTTCCGCTGCTGCCCCATCTGGGCCATCAGCCCA